AGAGCAGGAAAACTACAGGGTTTGCAGAAGGAGGAAAAGGCCATGGCAAGCCAAGGGTGGAAGGGAAAGTAGATGAATGGAGGTAGTAGAATTAAATACAGCAAATCCAATCTTCATGGATTATATGTTGGAGAATGTGGGAGGTGTGGTCCTACAAATGTGAAGGATATCAAATTGGAGGAAGTGTAAAGGGCATACATGCGAGGTCATTTCATATATAGACCCAGGGGGAGGAGGAGGCTCCTTCTTTGGAGGCTTTCAAACAGAAGCTGGATGACCTTCTGTCAAGGGTGCTTTAAATGTGATTTTCCTGCTTCTTGGTAGGGGGTTGGACTGGATGGCCCACGAAGCTTTTCCAACTCTACGATTCTAGACTACTCCACATACCATATATTACTATTTGCTGCATTTTGTGAGTGTGCCTTTCAAGTCACCAACTTACTATCATAATTCTTACCTTGCTGGATTGTGGTGTGTATAGGACACAAATAGAATAATTCCAGGTCTGTCATATATCCTTACACATCCTTGTGTAAAAATGAAGACTGCTTTTTGAATGGCTCAGACTGATATATCATGATGGTAATTGGTAACACCCAAATTTGAATCTTGATGGTTAAGACTGACTCAATCCAACCTTTAGTTGCAAACCGGAATAACCAGGTAACTTCACAGCAGCTTCTACAGTTTGCCATCATTCACTCTACCTGTGTCAGTCTCTCTTTGCCAAATGTTACTTACAGGTCATCCCAAGCATAAAGGGTTTTCTCTTACTATCGCTATGCAGTGCTCTGAGGAAAAGAATATCAACTGGACAAATGGCTCAAATACTCTGGTCTAACTGTGCGTGTTTATGCATACTCAATAAATTTGCTAGGTGTCCCTTATTATAAGAGATGTCGGGCTATAGAACAGGCGGTAAATCATCATTGGCAGCAATAAGATCTACCAATCAAAAGGTTGCCAGTTCGAAGCCCGGGTTGGAGTGAGCACCCAACTGTCAGCCTAGCTCACTGTTTACCTAAGCAGTTCAAAAACAGCTTAGAGCTGTAAGTAGATAAATTAGGTGCCACTAAAATACGGGGGGGAGGTATTTTATGACACCATAAAAAAGACCAGAAAATAGCAGCAACCAAACAGCAGGAGGAAGTCCTGATGGTTCTTTGTCATAGAGGATGGAGCGACGGCATCCACTCCAAAGGCACTAAAAAGCTGGACGTCAACACAACATTCCTCGTTGCTGTCTGTTTCTGTCCTAACGGCACTGAATGTTTGACGTGTATGTGTACTGTGATCTGCCCTGAGTCCCCTTAGGGAGATAGGGTGGAATATAAATTAAAGGGTGGTTGTTATTATTATTATTATTTATATTATTATTATTCCATTATTTGTGGTCCAGAGAGTTTACCCTTTGCAGGATTGGCAAATGTCCCTGATCATAAGGGATATATCCTAAATAGGTGTTAAGTGTTTCCTTTTTATGCAGATGAGTACTGTTCCATTATCAAGGCGGAGGCCACAAGGGGGTGCTGGACAGAGAAGAATAGTCCATTTTATGGGAGGGAAGGAGGTTGAAGGAGTTAAATAATTTCCCCCAGTTTTCCTGTTATTCCCCCCACCCATCACAGCAGCCTATTCTACAGATTGCCATCATTCATTCTACCTGTGTCAGCCTCTCTTTGCCGAAAGTTACTTACAGGATATCCTAAGCATAAAGGGTTTTCTCTTACTATCATTATGCAGTGCTCAGAGGAAAAGAATATCAACTGGACAAATGGCCCAAATACTCTGGTCTAACTGTGTGTGTTTATGCATACGCAATAAATTTGGCCACTTGGAGTGTCTCTGGTGTTGCTATAAGAAGGTCTTCCATTGTGCATGTGCACCTCAGCAAGCAAGATTCTAAAAGTGGCAGGCTCAAACCCAGAACCTCAATCAATGGCTGATACCAAATGAGAGACTCCCTCCTGGGCAAACAGAAAACTGGGCGAGTTGGAAGGCACTGAACAGACTGCGCTCTGGCACCACGACATGCAGAGCCAACCTTAAGAAATGGGCCTACAAAGTGGAATCCAAAACACAAAAATCCCTGTATTTGAGGACTTGGGATTTCATAATGACAGAGATGTATGGATCATGTAATGCATGAATGTGGGACCTCATCACACTTACCAATTTAAGTATCCTAGGATGCTTGCCAGCCAGTTGAGGAACACAGCCCATCACACAACGTCCCTCAACTTCTGGCAGAGGCCCAGCCCCCAACCAGTGTGGAAGCATCCTAGGACACTTTCTTGTTGCACGATGCTTCCCTACGTGATGCAGGAAGTGTCGCTGCGCTGAAGTGGCATGCAGAGTTGCCCCATGTGTCTGCTTATTTGCTACACTTGCTAAATTAAATACAACTAATACTTTCATTAGGCATATAGTAAAAACACAAGCTAGTTACTAGCTTCGTCCTGATGGTCAATCTTGCATTTTTTGAACTGAATCTGTCCCTTATTTCAATTTTGAAAACATGACAATACTAAAGACTCAAGACATGTACCGGTGTACTCTAGGGATATAAAGTAGGGCTGGGCGGTTTCGTTTCGTTAATTCGTAATTCGTTAATAATTCGTTAATTTTTTCAATTACAAAACGATAACGAACCATTCTGGAGCAATTATTAAAAAAAACAAATTTTCAAAAACGTTTTGTAAATGCTTCGTATTTCGATATTGTATTCGTTTCGTTATTGTTTTGAGGTCGTTTCGTTATTATTTCCGCATGTCTGGGCCAGTTTTATGGTTTAATTAGTGAAAAATTATAATATCACACCAACAGTCAACAACAGAGGGAGAGGGAAGCTTCAGAAGTTTTTGGAGGTTTTTTAGCGTATTTCGCGGTCGAGTCCACCATTAACGAATCGATTCGTTATTGTTTCGGAAATCGATTCGTTAATTTTTTACCATTTACGAAATTTCGTAAATATCGAACTTTTTAAAAGGAAAATTTTGTAATTATTTTAAATATCGAAACAAAAAAAACCCCAAATACAAATCGATTTTAGAAACAAATTTTTCCGTTGTTACCCAGGCCTAATATAAAGCTTTGTGTATTCCATTTCTATACACAAGAATGATCATTTTCCATTTTTTTCTCTCCATTGGGTGAAAAGCATGTTTATACATATTTATACTACATTTTATACATATGTGGTTGTTATTGTTATTATTTAGAGCATTTATTCATGCCTGTCCAAAAAAAAGCAGTTTACAAATGATTAATTTGACTTTTCCTTGGTATCAGACTTATATCTAATTTAAGGAGGAAGAGAGCAAGAGGGAACTAAGGCATGATGGAACTTTGCCTGCCTGCTCATCCAATCTGTCAGGCCCCTTCTACACAAGTCTTAAAATCTGTGAGAAACTGGGATAAAAAGGGGGAGGGTGACTAGAAGGTGCTCACTGAAAATACACAGGATTGGATGAAAGGTCCTCTTAAAATTTGCAATTGGCCAAAAAATACACTGCTACGGAATCCTGCCCTCCAGCCAAAATAAGTGTAAGAGTTGGTTGTAATACTCTGGTATGGATTGCTGTAATCCTCATTTTATAATCCCTAAACAGCTGATGAGAGAGGGAAACAAATGGAGACACAGACACACAGGTGGCTAAATGGAGGCACGAAAGAACAGGAATTCCCATGAGAACTCTTTCCAGGAATTCCTTTGTTCTCATATTTCTGAATTAAATGGAGATTTAAATTAAACAGTGGACACTAGTATGACAGGCAAGTGACCCAAATGGAAATGGGGTTCAAGAGGGCAAACGTAAAGGCAGCAGGAGGGTGAGGAGAGATAAAGTGCTTGTGTGCACTTTTTTTTAGCCGCACCAGCACTTATGAGTTCCAGTGCATCTCGGAGAGTCAATAAAAACAACTAAAGAAAACTTCTGGTTGATGTCCCATGTCCATTTTGCAAAATCCACTATAACCAAGCCTTTCAGGATGCCAGGGAAGCATTTACCAGCACTGAGAGGCACATGTCTGGACTTTCCTTAAGTACCATGATTTTTTCCCTACTTCTTTGTCTCGGATTAAGAGGCTGCTTGGAGGGGCCCTCAGGCCTCATTTACACTTTTAAATAGTATGGAAGAAAGTGTTTTGGCTGTGCAGATGATTTATATAGGAAATCCTGGAACCAGTTTGACAACACAAACCACAGAGTACGGATGAACATTAAGAGCTTTCTTTCACACACTTCTGTGGGAGTTTGTTGTCTGTCACCCACAGTTTGAAGATATTTATTCATGTATTCATTTACCATATATCTATCCCGCCTTTCTCAGCCCAAAGGCAACTCAAGGTGGTAGCTTCCAACTGCATTGAATCAGCAGTGTTGATAGGACCCAGTAGGATAGGACCCAGTAGGGGTGGGAGAGCTTTGGGGGGAAAAAGTTGCTTGTAGAAAAACCATTAAATTATATGCAAAACTATTGCTGCTAAAATATATCATTTGGGACAAAATATACTGTTTATTTACAAATAATTATTTTAACAAGAAAACTCTTGTAAGTTGGTGAAAAATGTTGAGATGTATACAAAAATTTTCATGCTACCTTCTTCAGGGCAAACAAAGCTTGAGAATGAAAAAATCAGAAAAAGAGAGGAAAATGTAACCAATGCCAATTGTCACTGTGGGAAGAGATAACCTTTGAACCCAGAGGTTGACTTCCTAGATCGTAAACATTAAATGGCATTTCTATTTCAGAATTCACTTCCTGAATGCAACAATTTGGCCCTCTTCCCCTCGCTATAAACCCATTAGGAACAACAATATCACAGCACACATCTTTCCTAGAGGCAGAGACCTATTGCCACACAAGCATCAACAAACAAGTATTTCCTGCCTGATGCCTTTATTCATTTGATTTTGATCATCATGCAGCATTCTGACTCGTATCTTTAGCAAGGACTGTGTGGGTTGTCATTTGTGCACACACCTCTTCCCTCCTTGGATGATGGCATGCTATTTCTACCCATCCCCAAAGCTCCTCCTTTGCATTACTCCACACGAAACACCCATGTGGACACGACTATATCAGGCAGCAATGAAATCCTACTCGGTGTCATTGGCACCTCTCAGCATTCACCATGCATGCCACTGGGAAAATGAAGATGTGGGCATTTCTCCTCTTACTACAAGCTGCCTACAGCCTGGCCTCTGGATGTAAGAAGTCTTGAAGGGTTTTACATTTTTGATGCCTCACAGGTTTGGGAAGAAGGAAAAGATGAAGGGAGGGAGGGCAGGTGATGCTTTAGCGTTTGATTCTGCTATTTACTGAAGTATAATTTATCAAAGAATTAGAAGTATGCAAGCATGTTGTAGAGGGAGCCAGCATATGTAGTTGTTTCAGTATTGGACTAAGGACTCTTGCAGAACCAACTGAGTGATTAGACAAATATAGTTTCACCTTAGGGTTCACATATGTTGGAACTGATTTCAAGGCATACAGCAGCAACTATTTATATATGTCCTAATTATAGCTCACTTTTCTTCCAATGAGTTCAAGACAGCGTACTTGGTTTTCCTCGTATACTAACCTCACAACAATTCTTTAATTTACGTTAAGCTAAGAGGAAGTGATTGAAGCAAGGCCACCTGGTGAGTTTTGTAGCTCAGTGTAGTACAAACTTGGGCTTTCCAAATCCTAACTCTCTTTGTTGTTGTTCATTCGTTCAGTCGTTTCCCACCCTTCGTGACTTCATGGACCAGTCCATGCCTAACTCTCTAACCACTCTTAAACTGGGAAATTTAAGATATAGTCCCACATGACTTTGGAACTCATTGCCTAAGGAAACCAGAATGGCCTCCTCCCTGCTGTCCTTCCAGTGGTAGACTAAAACCTTTTTTTCAGGCAGGCTTTTAAAGATGAAAGTTTTAAAGACCAAGCTACTATCTATCTATCTATCTATCTATCTATCTATCTATCTATCTATCTATCTATCTATCAATTCATCTAGCCATATATATATATATATATATACATACACACACACACACACAGACATATACATATATATACACACACACATACTAGCCGTCCCCTGCCACTTGTTGCTGTAGCCAGTCTGTGTATATGTGTTTTGTGTGTGTATATATGTGTATATGTGTATATATGTGGTTTTGCACATGCATTGTAATGTATTTTTTTTGTTTTTTAGTCTCTTCTGCTCTGTTTTTCAGTGTTTTTTTGAGTGATGTTCACTCGTTGGCCTTATAGGTGTATTGTGTCCAAATTTGGTGTCAATTCGTCCAGTGGTTTTTTTAGTTATGTTAATCTCACCAACGAACATTTTATACACACACACACACACACAGACACGCCAAGCGAGCCATCCATCCTTATGTTAAAAGCTTTGAGTCTTCTTTGGCAGAGAAAAAGTAGGGTATAAATGATACCACTACTACTACTACTATTACTAATAATAATAATAATAATAATAATAATGCTTACTTGGTAAATCCATTGGAACTCTATGGTCCCACTTTTGAGTGAAAGATGAATAGGACTGAGCTACTCATTTACAATCCGAAACATACTTACTAGGGCAGAGGCCACATTGAGCACAGTGGGCTTCACTTCCAGATTAGGAAACCTACAATTGGATTGTTAAAAGAGGCTCATACACATGCATGTGTACATCACTTGATTGCTCACCATTAGATTGCTGCTGACTTGGGGAAACTGGTTTTATTGTAATGCATTGAAGTCGATGTTGTAATTGGCTAATATGGGTGCTTTCTCTTTGGGCTTAGATGAATGATGCACACTAGCCATCATTTAACATTGCAGTTACTAGATGAATTGGCCAAGCAGGTGTGAATATTTGCCAAGGATGATTCATATTTGCTTGTAACACATCAAAGTCTCGTGATGGGGTTAAATGGCTTGCACAAGAAAACATGCGGCAGTCAGGTTGTTAACTGGGCCATCTTACAGGGAGCAGTGAATCCTCCTGTTCAAGGAGCTCCACTGGCTGCCATTCAAGGTGCAGGTTCTTACCTACAAAGCCCTGAATGTTTTGGGACCTGCCTACCTGCGTGACCGCATCTCTGTATACGAACCCACATGATCCCTTCGATCATCCGGAGAGGCCCTGCTCTCGATCCCACCAGCATCGCAGGTGCGATTGGTGGGGACGAGAGGGCCTTTTCGGTGGTGGCCCCTCGACTCTGGAACTCACTCCCTAAAGACATCAGACAGGCCCCAACTTTGGCAGTCTTTAGGAGGAGCTTGAAGACGTAGTTGTTCCAGTGTGCCTTCCTGGAATAATTGATTCCATAGCACTTTGTCCTCCAAAGCACTTTACATTTTTTAGGTCTGCTCATATGCCCTTCCACAAACGCCACTATCACCTTCTCGTCCATGTCCCAGCATTACTTCCAATTTTAATTTTACATTTGGCCTTCCCGCTGTTTTAATTGTGTGTTGTCTTATTGATAAGGTTGTATATTTTATTGTCTATGTTTTATTTTAACTTGCTTGTACTGTTGTTATTGCTTGTATTGTTGTATTCGGGCTTGGCCTCATGTAAGCCGCACCGAGTCCCTTGGGGAGATGGTAGCGGGGTACAAATAAAGTGTTGTTGTTGTTGTTGTTATTATTATTATTATTATTATTATTATTATTATCTCTAGAACTACAGAATTTGCTTTTGAATAGGAAGTAGTCTATATTTGTGTTCTCATAATTTCTACCAAAATTAAATTACATTCAGCATTATATTATGTAAGGCTCTTGTGTCAGTGGAGTATATATTTCTCGCCAGACAATGGTTTGCCTGAAAAAAAAGATATGACAGAACACCACTACATTACCTGGTGTCAGATGCAGGTCGTGTTTCGTCCAGGCCCCATCTACACTGCCACATAATGCAGTTTGAAATGACATTATATGGCAAGTGTTGGCTCATATAATAAAGTTCAATGCAATTAAACTGCACTGAGCCTACAGTGACCATAAACAGGCAGTACCCAAGTTACAAATGACTCATAGTTAAGAACGGGGGTGAGACAATAGGAAGTGAGAGATATCTACCTCTATGAAGTGAAATTCATTCCTGAAACCATTATAATGGGGAAAAGGCATCTCCCTTGAAAATATCTCACCAATTCGTGTTTCAACAGAAAGTCAAATTTTTCGAAATCCAAATACCGCAGAAAGTGATGTAAAATCTTCTGAACAAGAGCACAGACAGTAAACCAGACACTACAGGGGTGTTAGCCCTTCCCTAAAATTGTGATATGTGTGTATGTGTGTGTGTGTCCCCCCGGAGTTATATTTTTAAAAATACCTGTTCCGACTTACATGTCATTCAACTTAAGATCAAATCTTGTTCATAACTTGGGGAGGATCTGTAATGCCATTTCAAACTGCATTGTGTGGCAGTGTAGATGGTGTCTCAAAAATATGCTCATTTGAAGTCGAAATAGGTTTATTTTAAAAGAATAGATTAAAAGCTACCACATCCCTGGCATCCTTGGTACTGGGGGATTTTACAATTTGGCAACATTTATGACTTTTATATTTGAAATACTTCAGAGGCGATGTATTTCCTAATTTGTCAAAAAGCCCTGTCTGTTATACTTTTCAAGGTCTTTTCTTCTACTGGACAAGCAATAAAAACATTTTCTCATTCCCACATGCCTTTTCACACGAGAAAGACCTTGAGTATCTGCAGGTTTTCAAAACAGTTTCATAAATCAGACTTGATATTCATCTCTTAATGCCTAGTTAGCTAAGAAGATCACACAGTATCAGCCTTTGTTGCACAATTCTAATAAGCAACTTCTAGAATGCACTCTCACTCCCATTAGCAATGTATACATTTGTTTAGTGAATATAGAATTCAGACTTACTAATCAACTAAATATGCATAAGAACAAAATAACAACATGTACAGTATGTAACATCAATATATTACCAAACTAGAGCACAGAAGATATGTTTCAAAGCCATAAGCATAAAACATAATAAATATAAAGGCACGGCAGGTCCTAAGCATAGGATCCCGACACCTGGTTTCACTTTTGGGGGAAGCATATCATAAAATCAGACAAAGAACCTAGGATTCCTGGAGAGATCATTTTCTGTGAGTGAGGCTAAGTCAACCACAGATATTAGTTCTATGGTTATGGGAGTCCAGAGTTATCATTTCAGAACAAGACAAGAAAGTCTTGATTTTTTCTCTATCCACCCCCCCCCCCCCCAAATCAGAATAGTCATTATTGCACTAGACCAGCATTTCTCAACCTGGGGGTTGTGACCCCTGGGGGATCTCAAGGAGGGTTCCAGAGGGGTTGCCAAAGACCATGAGAAAACATAGTATTTTCGGTTGGCCAGTTTGGCCCAGTTTTATCATTGGTAGGATTCAGAATGCTCTTTGATTGTAGGTGAACTATACATCTTAGCAACTACAACTCCAAAATGTCAAGGTCTATTTTCCCCAAATTCCACCAGTGTTCACATTTGAGTATATTGAGTATTCATGCCAAATCTGGTCCAGATCCATCATTGTTTGAGTCTACAGTGCTCTCTGGATGTAAGTGAACTACAACTCCAAAAGTCAAGGTCAATGTGCACCAAACTTTTCCAGTATTCTCTGTTTGTCATTAGAGTTGTGTGTGCCAAGTTTGGTTCAATTTCATCAATGGTGAAGTTCAGAATGCTCTTTAATTATAGGTTAACAATTACAACTCCCAAATGACAAAGTCAAGCCCCCCCCCACCCCCCCCCCCCCCCCCCCCCCCCCCCCGCCCTCCTCACTCAAGCCACCAATATTCAAATCTGGGTGTATTTGGGTATCTGTGCCAAATTTGGTCCAGTGAATTAAAATACATCTTGCATATTAGATATTTACATTCCGATTCATAACTGTAGCAAAATTATAGTTATGAAGTAGCAATGAAAATAATTTTATGGTTGGGGGTCACCACAACATGATGAACTGTATTATGAGATTGTAGGATTAGGAAGGTTGAGAACCACTGCACTAAAAAGAGGGATCCAGTGTCATCTGGAATAAGGTGGTTTGCTATATGTCTGAGAGACAAGCAGAAGTGCATCAGTTGCAATTATGCTGCTTACTTAATTTCTTGCTGCTTGCTTATGTACTTCTCTTCTGGTTTAACAGCTTTGACATGATGCTGACCCATTTGTGCAGGAGAGATACTTAATTGATCATAAATAGTTGCCACATTGAGCAGGCATCACAGGTCAGACCATGTCTGTCTGATTGCTAGAGATGACGGTGGCGAGAGTGATAAATAATGCATCCAAATAACACACTAGAATATTTTAAAAACATTATTTAAAAGGATTCCCATAGAACACTTATGCATAATATAGCAACACGCCCAGTTACATATTACTCTATCCTTGTCAGCCAAAGCTGAAGGCCTGCTTAAACAAAAAGGACTTTGCTTGCCTGTGGAAAGACAACAGAGAGGGGAGATGATCCAAAGCCTAGGGCAGCTACCAAGAAGGCTCTCTCCATGTCCCCACCAACCACATTTGAGGGGGTGGGATAAAGAAAAAGCCCCTTCTGGCAGATATATTTTTGTTGCTGATACTAATACAGTGAGACAACTGTAATTGGAGGTACCAGCACAGTCCCAAGATTGGTGCCACCCCCCTCTGATGGTGCCACCCCCCCATCACCCAGTAATGCCACTGGATATTGCTTTGCCACACATATCCCAGTTTTCAGCTCTGAAATGTTGAAAAGTATGGTCCACTGTTATTCCTAAACTTTCTGATGGTGCTTTATGTTTCAACTCTCAATACAGGGAGATGTTTGCCTTCCACAACTACTAACCTTTCTTCTCCTACCTTAATTTTTAGCCTTATATGGTCCCGCTGACTCCTGCAAAGGACGTTGCAATGAGAAATATAACTCCAAGGATGTTTGCCATTGCAATAATCAATGTGAAACGTATCAAAACTGCTGTGATGACTACCAGAGCTATTGTGGACAAGGTGAGTGAGAATATGTATGCATCTCTTTGCTGGTGTGTGTTTGGGTAGATAATGATATGGACCAGACCTGATTATCACCAGAATCTCCACTATTCCAAAAAGGAGATGTAGCTCAGGAATAATACTCCCAATCAAAATGGGTGAAATGAAATAAAAGGCAAAGGTAAAGGGTGTCTCCTGACATTAAGTCCAGTCGTGTCCGACTAGGGGTTGGTGTTCATCTCCATGTCTAAGCTGAAGAGCTAGCATTGTCCATAGACACCTCCAAGGTCATGTGGCCAGCATGACTGCATGGAGCACCATTACCTTCCCACCAGAGCAGTACCTATTGATCTACTCACATTTGCATGTTTTCGAACTGCTAGGTTGACAGAAGCTGGGGCTGACAGTGGAAGCTCATGGTGCTCCCCGGATTCGAGCCTGTGATACTAATTTAATTTGAGGTCTTGGGGATTGGCAGATGGTGTGGTCCTTATCCCTAGTGGGATTACATGGGGCAAGGGGGTAGTTTTGTATTTGGCCCCAGAGCAGTGGCAAGTGCGGGGTTCCTTATCAGTGGGGTGACATATTTGGTCTGGCTTTAACTCCAGATTTCAAAAACTAAACATTCCTCTTAAATAGATTCAGTAACTTTAGATATCACCTTTAAAATTTGGACTAAAATCTAGAGAAGCTTGTCATCTCTCTGACATAGGGACCACTAGCCCTCCTTGTTTCAGAGGGAAATAGGACTGTGCATGCAGATGTGTGATCTACCCACATTTTCCACCATCTTGATCCCCATTTGGCAGCATTTATACTTCATTGAAACATTGTCAGATTGAAAACTGGAGTGAGCTTCTGTGCTTTTAAGAAGAAGGAATTTCAGAAGGTGCTGCTTGTTACTTAGCTGCACACCAGCAACATCTATTACAATTCCCTATTCTACACAACCACAAGATATACAGCTGCATTTTTTCAGTTTTCAGTTTGGCAATCCTGGCAAGGGCAGACCACACCTATATTTAATTGGACTCTAAGTTGTGGCTAATATAGTTGAACAAAGTTCTTTATTTGCCTACTGTGCCTCTGGAGCAATTAGCATCTCATATGGTCATTGCCATATGTTTATAAACAGGAAGGCCCCTTAGTTAAAACTTTTGAACTGAATGATTGAGTCTAAACAGCGGCATCAGTAAGGCAGATGGAGGCTTCTTGCACAACATCAACAAGGGGAAAGTTTTTCATTCTGAACTCGTAAATTAACTGCTCAATATCTGATTTCTATCAGTCTTTTTCAAAAAGGAACCCAAAGAGCCAGAGTTTAAATCCTCATTTCAGTTAGGTTGAAAAATAAATAAAGATTGGCTCAAAGTCACTTGTCTAACTGATAGATGTGTGTGGAGAAAGAGAGTTAATTTCAACCCCCCCCCCCATCAAAAATAAGTAATTTTAGCATTTTACCTCCCACTGTGAGAAACTTTTTGAGAATTACAGTTTTCAGAAATTAGTCAGCTTGGGTGTATTCTGCTCAAAATTTTCATTGTGGCACCTTTGTGTAAGAAACGGCATTTTCTGCATAGAAAAATCAGCAGATATATTATTTTCAGGGCAGAAAATATGGTTCCTGCACAGGAAATACTTTTTCTGTCGAAAATAAAATATTAAACTCCAGTTCACGAAGATTTTCATCAATCAATATTTCATTATATATGCTCAATAATCAAGACATTTTAAATTCTTTTTCAATATTTTTGAAAATTTATTTCCAAACTTACCGAATGCAGAGTTGATCCTGGTTCTTTTTAGTCCTTGTCAAGTATTCTAGCTACTATATGATGCTTGCTGGAGTTAGGAATGAGGGTGACTCTGGAGAAAAGATATTCTCTCTGAAGTGGGGATTAATCTGGTTCATATTTATTCACTAGCATTTGAAATAGGTTTATTTTCCCCCTGTAATATTGCTCCTCACATGTTTACCTTATAGAACCACTTTCCATTCATATTGCTTCAGAAATGCATGCCCCAGCAACCAAACTTCCAAGTTAACCCTGTCTATTTTCCAGTGATGAGTCACACATCAAAGTATGCAAAATGCAAAATGCGTGGGAAGTCATATGCAATGACAAGCAGATGCCTTTCACTACTTGAGCAAGGACATCTTCTAACAGGCAAAATACATCAGCCATCTTGATCCTGAAGTATTTTTTTAAAAATCACAATGTTTTCAAAATAATTCTTGTGAAGTTTTCACCCAACACTAAATGCACATTAAAATGCATCCGATAACTAAGTGTCAGAAAACAGGGGCAAGTATCACAAAGATACAAAGAACAAGCTGGAAGCTGTAGAAATCCTTTCCATTATGAAAAATAATTGACTTACTGTTCTGGATAAGCATTTGGAATGATGTGATGAGATCCATGATTTTAAAATATATGGAAGTTGAAAATTCATGTCTGCTTCATTGGATCATCAGATAGGATTCTTCTCAGGTTCACCAAAGGGCACATCAGAAGTCATGTGGAACACACATTCCCTTCAAAATAATCAAAATAATTCAAAATAAACAAGGAGACTGACTTAGAGATACATGAAGTAGCAGTCTTGCAAAGCCCATGTCTGTCTTCTAATACCAATAATAAAATATGTTAAATGCAAAATACATTGGTGAGGAAAATTGTGGCTTCTTGTAAACATTTGTTTTTCACCACTTAGGAAGTACTTTCCAAAAAAACTGTTGTTGTTGTTGTTGTTTGCTTTGAATGTGATTTTCCTGCTTCTTGGCAGGGGGTTGGAGTGGATGGCCTATGAGGTCTCTTCCAACTCTAGGATTCTATGATTCTATGTTTATTTATATGCCACTTTTTCTCTCCATAAGGAGATTTAAAATGGCTAACATCATCAGCATTACAATACAATTTAAATATACAAATATTCAAATTTTAGAACATCATTAGTAGTAAAAAATAATTCAGATTAATTTAAAAAAAAAACCCATATAAAGCCACAGCAGCCCCTGACATGTTTTTTAAATTCTTCTTCTTAAAAGCCTGACTGAATAAAAAGGTTTTTGCCTGCTGTTAAATGAACGATCTAATCACGATGTAAATGTTTCTAGAAGTGATCATTTTTTTTGCAAAGCCCAAACAATATTGAGATGTTAAGGTTTCCATAAACCTATTTCTCCCTTCTTTTACAGGTAATACAGAGAATAAAGAAAAAGGTGAGTACTTTTGTCACTTTTTAGATGAAATATATAACACGACATGGGCACTAAGTAGGGTCCCCCATTAACTGACTTCATATATTGGTGGAATTGCTCCCTCCTGCAGCAGAAGGAGATGCCGGCAATAGAGGTAGGTACACGCGAAAGTTAATTCTCTCACAGTTTGACCAGAGATAATGACATTACAAGGAGATATACTAAACAATCAGCTACCATACTCCTGAAGCCAAATGAAATAATTTTCACTACTAACAATAAGAATGGATTTTCAGTTTGGGTTTCATATACATTTTGGAATTGGTGATGAAGCATGGAAAAATGAGACATAGCTCAGAGAACTGGGTTGTAACAAAACCCAATTTGTTTGACCTAAAACCTATTTAAGATGGTTTGAACCTGAAAAGGAGTCAGATGGAGTAGCTATCTAGTGTAGGATCAGGTGAAGCCCAGAATCACCCTTGACTACCAACTCAATCTTCCCATAGAAACCATTTATTTGTTTTTTATTTGTATACATTTGTCCATGGTTTTTATAGAACACCATATTTTAGATGAGTTGATTCTTTTTTATCTGCTTTCTTCACTGTTCAACTTTTACAACCATACATAGAAATCAGAAACATAGCACAGACAATCCCGACTTTGGTATTCAGTGACATATAATTGAGATTCTCTGACTGTGTTCATTAACAATTGTAACTCTTATCAGTGAGCAGTTGAGATACAACAGATATCAAACTATGGATCTGTCTGTATTGCAAACATATGATCTCTTTATATTCTGTTCTCTACTAATCATGCTAGTATGGTATCTATTCTCATTGAGCCACCCAAATTCCAGGATTATATGGGATCTATCCCACACTAGATAGATTATACATTTGTAACATCATGTCTTCATGCTACAATAATTGTTTCCTTCCAAGATGGGTTTTCCAGCAGTGATGATGCAATTACCAATGAGGAACTGCAACAAGTGTCTGAGCAACTTTACCAAAGTGACTCCAACAGAGCAGAGGAGTCCGACATCATCCTTAACAAACAGCATCTAGCTTCAAATACTAAAGATCAAGAAGATGAGTCCCCAGAACCGTGAGTTTCTTCGCACGAATGCAATGTATTTTCTTAGAGGTAGAGTCTGAAAATTACAAAGTCAGTCTGTACAGTTCTCTATATGAATGTACATTCTTCAGATGAAGTGGGATGGGGTTGGTTAGCATTCTCATTGAAGGGGAGGAAATTTGTAAATTTTCTTTACACCTTATCTTGGGGGAGATGTCCCATTTGATCTGTGTGCACCAGAAAGTGAAATGGATTTTTTACAAGTGGAATAACAATCTATAAAGAGAATAACTGGGATTTTTAAAAAGTAATTTTTATTGATTTTTTAGGGAAAAAGCAAAGAAAAAGGAAAAATAAAAAAGAGGTGGGAAATGGGAGGGGGAGAATGGGGGGTAGGAATATTTAACAGGTAGGAAAAAGGAAGAAGCTAACTATGGTTAAAGGGGTATGGAGGTTTTCCTACTAATGGAGATTGGAATGGAAGGGCTGAGGGGAAGGAAAGGTGAAAAAATGGGGTAAAAAAGAAAGAAAGAAAGAAAGAAAAAAGTTTATTGAAAAGAAAAAAAGAGGAAAAATTGTAAAACATATGTAAAAATAAAAAAATTAACTGGGATTTTTAAATAAACAATTGCAGGCTCTTCAAGTATGTCAATCAAGAGAAGCTCTTCTCTAAGCCAACATATGCCAGTTTTATTAAGCTCCTGAATAATTATCATAGAAAGGTTGGGACTGGAGAAGAATTCACAGCAGATCAGCTAAAAGAGCAGGACAATTTCCTCCAGGAAATCATGAAGACCAAAGTCATGAAAGAACTTTACAGCTTCCTTCATAGCAAAAGTAAGTAATTCCTTCATATCGAGATCTATACTATTTTAGTTCTTTAAAATACAAATGGATCTCTGTCGTTTTGCTTATCTTGATTGAAAGCAATAATGTTTAAAATTATAACGTTATGAATGTAGTAAGACCAGACTTACGCGAGGAAGTGTTGGAGGCTGGAAAAGTTCATTTTTGGGCTACAACTCTCAGATTCTCACATTCAGCATAATTTTCTGGAATTTGTAGTCCAAAAACTTTTCCAAGCTTGAACGAAAACTGTGAGATACTCAGAAAAGGTAATAGTCCTTCACTTTAGAATAGGAAAAGATGATCTTCTTTTCATACAACACCCGAATACTTTGTTAACTGAACACATACACTATATTATGCACTCCTGCATGGCAGGGGGTTAGACTGGATGGCCCTTTGGTCTCTTCCAATTCCATGATTCTGTGTTCTTTTTCCAGGACATGTCCTCTTTTAAAGGACCTAATATGTATTTCTGGGGATTTTCAAAATCTTTGCTGCTGTTCGTGCTTCGCCTCATCCTACTAAGAATTGTCATAGTGATTGGCGGTTTGAAATAGTCAGTTGGGAAAATGTTTCCCTCTTTTCTGCTTTTCAAAATATGGTAACCCTAATTTACATTCTCCTACTGCAGTTATGTACTCACCACTCATTTACATATTGAAAGCACATGTGGGGCAACCATTCCTCCAAATATTCTGGTCTGTAGTTCCTAACCTGCACACAGCACGGTCAATGAAAAAGGATTGTGAGAGTTGTAGACCAAACATCTGAGAGGTCAAATTATTATCAACAATGATTAGGTATCACAGCACAATGCATCCTCCATTATTCAGCACTCATGTCCTTCTAAGTGAATGCCGAATGAGAAACAGCAGCAAAGGATCTACATGTCCAGGTATAATTTTCAAAGCATATTGGTGTGAAGAGAATGCCAGAAAATGCTGGAAGTGGAAAAAAATCTGAAAATATTCAAAAAGTAATGAAAATGTAAAATGTTTATGTTGTGTCTGTGATTCTTGTTTCATAGTTCTATAGTTTTAATGGTTTTTTATTTATTGTCATATGTTGTTGAATTGACATGTGATGTTTTTATATATGTGAGGCATTGAATTTTGCCATTGATAATGTTGTGAACCGCTTTGAGTCCCCCTAGAGTTGAGAAAAGTGGTATATAAATGCATTAACAAACAAATGAATGAATGAATAAATAAATATGATTAGAACTGTGTCAAGAAGAATTCTTGAATAATGGATAAGAATCTTTGCAATCTGAGGCTTATTCTGAGCAAAATTCTATGGACTTTTTGGAACAGAATATAGTATGATATTCTATAATTACGTTGCAAATATGATCACTTTTTTCAAGGTGCAATTTTTTTCTTGCTGCACACATCTTTGTACAACACAGCCAGTTTCATAATAATCCAGCAAAGCAGAACATCAAAACTCTTCTAAAAAAAGTTGTGAGTCTGCATTCTTTCTTTTAATTAAAAAATATTTTTTCTGTGTATTTCTCTCCAACCTCTTTCCCAGATCGTTATGACACTGAGTCAGATTTTGTTGCTGATCTGAAGAAGATGTGGTTTGGTCTTTACTCTAGAGGAAATGATGAGGGTGATTCCAGTGGGTTTGAGCACATCTTCCTAGGTATACTCTGAAAAGCAAGTAAATACATACTATAAAGCTCTGCTTTGAGTAGAAAGTGTTCTTTGTGCTTATTTACAAGCATTATTTGTAGATATAGAGCTCCTTGGGTTTCACTAGTTGACATCACCTCCACACTTGTTCTATTCTTTCTGGAGCTGTGCAGGAAGCCAAACAGACAACAAACAACAACTTTGGGTGGAGAATTGGCCAAATCCCAGCATTGCTCTCACTCCAACATACTCAGGGCCCTTCCACATAGCCATATAACCCATAATATCTTGGCAGATAATCCAAAATATCTGCTTTGAACTGGATTATCTGATTCCAAGTTGCCGTATAATCCAGTTCAATGTGGGTTTTATATAGTTGTGTGGAAGGAGCCTCAGAGCTCTGGTTGAGGATAAAGCTTGTTTCAAGTATCGGTATTTTACAGACGTTCAGACAAAGTGTGTGTGAGCAATATCTATTACATATGTAGTAATCCTTATCTGATGTATATGTAATCATCACAGAATGTAGTCAGCATTTGTTTGTTCTTAAGAGGATGTTATCAGGGCCTGGCACTGTATGCAGCCATAACTTGTGGTTGTTTACCCTGGGCACATAATATTACAGTCACAGCATTTCTAACTTTGCACAAATGACAGGTCTCAGCAAGCAATACAGGCCATGTGGAAACATCAGCTATTGTCAAAATAGAATTGATCAGTCTCACTAAAACAGATCGGCATACAGTTGCATTTTTAATTCTTATTTTCAGGAGCAATTCCTTTAATCTGCATTACCCAATGTATTTGCTTTTTTTTTAATTGGGAAGGTAATGGTTTGCTAAGGTAACCATATGGTTTAAAGAACACTTTCACTCCACCTTTCACATTCTCCCCTCCCTCTCTTTAAACCAATGTATTCCTTTATTTACACCTTAGCTTTCACAGGTGTGGGACCCAAAATGTTTCTTACAGATAAAATTCTAAACAGACATAATTGAATCAGTATTATTAGTTTTGCCAGACTGAAACCTGAAGTTAGCCTTATAGTGGTGGGAATATGGAAGAGGGAATTTCAATAGGTGTCCCTAGTCAGACAAGATTTACTGAAATTTTCTCTTCTATACACTATTAAAGGTACAGGAGCCCTCTCAGGTTTTGGTCTGGCGACCCTAATTGTAGTGCAAAAGTATAATATATATTTTCCTGATGTGTTAATGCACCACAATACCTTCCTTCCTATTCATTTGTTACTGGAGACATGAAAAATGCACATGTAGTGATATGGCTTACTGTATATGGATTCCTAATCAGACACATTTTTTCCTATTTAGGTGAAGTCAAGAAAGGAAAGGTATCTGGATTCCACAACTGGATTCGTTTTTATCTTTTGGAGAAAGACGGTGTTATTAACTATTTGAGTTACAATTATGATGGCCCAGTGAGTATAAATAATGCAATTTTGGATATATAAGTACATATTTATCAGATTTGGGTGACACATAAAATGAAATCAGTCAATTATGTGTTGCTGAATTCTAAGAAAATTGTAATGAAATGACATTCTGTCACAAAAACCTTTGTTACATGTTACGAATGCTCCTTGTTGTAATCTATATAATATACAAAGAGCAATGGGCTAAAATTGGTTTTCATTTGAAACTGCTCACCACAACAGATTTCCCAAGTCTGCCCTCTAGTGGCACTTAGTGGTAAGGCAGAACTGAACGCTAACTTGTTTTTATGGCTTTGTGTGTGCCAAATTACTTCTGATGTAAATGTCTTTTTAACTGTTTAAACTATGATTTATAAAAGATTGTTGTTTCATTGTTTTAAAGTTTTGTAAAATGCTATTTTAATTTAAATTTCTTGTAATTTTGGAAGCTGCCTTGGGATCCCAGTCCAGGAGAAAAATATAGCATATATCTAATATGTAAATAAATAAGTAAACAAACAAACAAGCTTGTGACATTGCATGTTGTGGTATTGGCTTATGTTGTGTTATGTCACAACTCTACATGTGGGCAGGTTGCATAGTGCTCACATGGCATGGGAAAACTGGTCAAACCTTTTCCATGGGATAATTTTGCATATGTAAGATACCAAAAGCCAAATTCTCCAGATCTCTTCTTCAGTCTAGAAGCAAATGCTGTATGACTGGTGCTGCAGCCACGGAGTCTACATTTAGTCATGCTCTGGAGACAGAAAGTGGGTTGCAAACACTGAGATAAGCAATATAAGAGAGACAGCCCAGCTCCCATAACTGATAATTCTCAAAAGTAAACACAGAGACGATACTAAGAATACAGGGACTTAGGACCCTTCCACACAGCCCTATATCCCAGAATATCAAGGCAGAAAATCCCACAATATCTGCTTTGAGCTGGGTTATCTGAATCCACACTGCCTTGATATTGTGATATAGGGCTGTATGCAAGGGCCCTAATTCATCATATGATGTGCCTTGTGAAAGAAGCTAGAGGTGGGGCTGGCATGCTATTATCTATCTATCATCAGAAGTTTTCATAATCTTCCGATGATCATCAGAGTGTAAACCAGGAGTAGGGAATTGAATGAGGAAGCCAATTTCTCCCTTACTCACTCCCAACAATGTTTCATGGGCAGGGTAATTTCAGTTATATATATGTAGCCCTGTTACCTGCCATGGCTTGGTTTTCAGGCAATCAAAGGAAACAGGTTTGATGATAAACAGACTTTCAGCTGACATTTCCAGGATCTAGTCAAGAATGCAGAGAGATTCATTCTTCATTCCTTTCCATGTGGCTTAGCTTGGAGGAGTGAAGTTTAAAAAAAAGCAATCCCTACCATCTCCAAATGACCTGGCTCTCTTCTTGAGGCCCTTTCTGCACAGCTCTATATCCCAGAATACCAAGGAAGAAAATCCCACAATATCTGCTTTGAACTGGGTTATATGAGTCCGGAGTCAGATAATGTGGGATTTACTGCCTTGATATTCAGGGATATAGGGCTGTGTGGAAGGGCCCTTTGGCCCTCCCACCCAGCTGAATAAAATGCCACATTATCTGCTTTGAACTGGGATATAAGGCAGTGTGGACACAGAGATTCCAGTTCAAAGCAGATATTGTGGGTTTTCTGCCTTGATATTCTGGGTTATATGGTAGTGTGGAAGGGCCTTTAGTCTACAGTGATGGGTGACACCTGGTTTGAAAACAATCCATGTGAAAGGGATCCAGGAGGCTATGGGCCCTTATGCATTGCTATTTAATATCCAAATTATCTGCTTTGAACTGGATTATATAGCAGTGTAGACTAATAATCCAGTTCAAAGCAGATGATGTGGGTTATCTGCTTCGTTAATCTGGATTACATGGCAATGTAGAAGGGGATTTAGTAAGCAGAGCGTAGATTAGCATCTGTCAGGAATGCTTTGATTGTGCTTTTCCTGCATGGCCCTTTTGCATTAGATTAGACTCATGGACCAGAAGTGCATATCATGCCCCTATTTTGTGCTTTATGATTAAGTCTTATAAGGTATCTATTTTTTACTTTGGAAATATTTCATTTGGAAATACCTTATACCAGGCCTCCTAAATATTTTGGTGAATTCTCTTTTCCTTCTTCTCTCCCTAATTTAGTGGACTTCGTATCCAGATGTCCTGGGTATGCAATTCAGTTGGGATGGATTTTTCAAGGAAGTCGGCACAGCTTTCATTGGAAGCAGTCCTGAATTCGAATTCGCCCTCTATTCACTGTCTTTCATTGCTAGGCCTGGGAAAAAGTAAGTATGATGCTATAGGCAAAAGACTTTGCCCTGCAGTGAAAAGGAAAGGATGCTGCAGTGTTAAGAATAATAAGATAGAGACCCACAGACAGTTTTGGAACCTTTTACTTCTGTTTATTTTTATTGTGTCAGAAGTGAACAGGGTACACTTGTAATGTATTTAAAAACAAAAACAAAGTTTTTGGCAGTATACTAAACTTGGCAGTATACTAAATGTTCTTTGATTAGAAGCTGGCTACTTGGGGTACCTCTGGTGTTGCTATAAGAAGGACCTCCATTGTGCTTGTGGCAGGGCTCAGACTACATTGTAATTGGTGGTCTGTGGTTTGCTCTTCTCTGCACTTGCATGTCATGGACTCCACCTTGTAGCTCCATTTCTTAAGGTTGGTTCTGCATCTCGTGGTGCCAGAGCGTGGTCTGTTCAGTGCTTCCAAGTTGCCCAGTCTTCTGTGTGCCCAGGAGGGAGTCTCTCATTCAGTATCAGCCTTGGCTTGAGGTACCAGGTTTTAGCCTGCCACTTTTGGATTCTCACTTGCTGAGATGTTCCTGCGAGTCTCTCTGTAGATCTTAGGAAACTATTTCTCGATTTAAGGCATTGGTGTGCTGGCTGATATCCGAACAGGGGATGGGCCAGAGATGTCACTGTCTTATTTATTATTTAGAGCATTTGTATCCCACCCTTCTCAATCCTCGAAGGGGGACTCAGGATGGCTTACAATTGGCAGTCATTAGATACCAACAAAGAAACAATTAGAGCACAATAATTAACATACACAGGCCAAGAGCAATAAAAATACATTTAAAAAGCAATAAAAATACATTAAAAATATTGGCCCTTAGTCTTTTCATTATTCTACTTCTGTGATGTATATCAATAGTATAGCAGGTTCTGAATAAAGCAATCAGAACTTTCCTACTGAGTCAAAATTAAATTATTTTAGTACAGCAATTTGTAACCACCACCTCTCAACCATTGCGGGATTCCAGTTCTGGACAGCGTTTGACACTACAGACCAAGAGTACTTGAGGAAACACATGTCCCAACTAATGTAGTTTAACAACATAAAATTAGAAGTCTTCACATTTTTGTGTTGGTTCCTATCCTCAGATGATTCAGTGGCATATTGCATTGGAAGACTACATTTGTTGTGATTTATACCATTAATACACCTATCTTCCATCTAAAATATTTCTTAAAACACTATCGCCATGGCTGTATCTTGAAGCTCTTATACTCTTACAGTGTGCTGTACAAAGTACTTCCTCCACCCTCCCTCCACTTCTGGAGAAAAGGTGGAGACTCAAACTTTTTTTTATCATATCAGATGACAGATGGTCAAAAGAAAAAGATTATTAAAATTCAGCCTAGGAATTTGGGAGAGAATATGAGGCAAGTGGCTTAGGTATGCTAAACATCCCAACATGCCTAATCATGTTGTGCTTCTATTCATAGGCTTTTTTTAATGTGTTTTTATGACTGTGTTTTTATGACTGTTCAGATCACAGCCCAAGGCAATCTGGTTCATCTACTTTTCAAAGTTGCTTTGAGCTGTGACCTGGAAAATATTCGTAAGGCTGGAACCGTATTTAAATTATTTTTTGAGAAAGAAAATGTGTGATTATGACAACATAGCAGTTTGTAAAAATTGGCTGGATTCAGATTAGTATTTTCCCAGTTTGGAATTATACTGAGTTATGATTGGAAAGATAGGCTTGGTAGGAATAGGATGAGGAAATGTTGGCACTCCAAACATTCTTTGAACTGTTTCCCTCCATCATTAGTCATGTTGGGTGAATCTGAATAGAACTGAAGCCTAAAATACCTGGAAGGGCAAGGGCTCTCCAACCCTGAAAGGAAGAGATGATAACATGTTCCTTTCCTTTCCCCCAGGTGTCACCTGAAAATTGGGGGCCATAATCTGGAGATCCAGACACATACTTGGGATAAGTCTCCTTATGGTAATGGGAAGAGGTACATAGCCACAGCTTATGTGGCATCCCCATGAGATGGCAAGATCCTGTGTGTGAAACATCCTGAAATATTGGCTGCAATCCATACGACTCCAACTGTACTCTCATCTCCACCAGCAGATGCTCTGGAATGGGCCTCTTCTCTGATCATTCAGGACTGCATTAATATTTGTTTGCCCAAGTCATGTGGAGTCTGCCACAGGATGCTGAGACTGGAGGTCTGTGACCCCTTGAGTCTTTATGGTGACCGTGGAATGATTTACATCATACTCCATTCTGCACAAATGACATCCATGCTTGACTAAATTGTGGGAAAATGTGTAAACAATTTTAATAGAAGATCAAATAACAGAAAGTCAAATGAGGAGGAGGGAAATGCTTTTATCCAAAGTGAAAATTTGATATCAAATAGAAATTCCCAATTAAACAAAACTTCCAAGACATGTCAGGAAAAAAAATCCAAAATATTTTTGATAAGGCAAACAAAAATGATTTTAAAAGTATTATACTCTGTTGCCAGAAATTCAAAAAGGTAAAGATGACAAAGAGACATAAGCTAGATCTACACTGCTGCATAATCCAGTTTAAAGCAGACGATCTGGATTCAGAAATTAGATTATATAGCAGTGTAGATAGGGCCAAAGGGAAATCTTGTCCCATTAAGAAGAACAACCATGAAGATACCCGATTAACAGTGCAACCTATGACAAGTGCCACGTCTGATTCCTTCTGGGTGATCTCCATGGTGATGATTTAAGTTTCAGAATATCTAAGCCTGCACAAGTCCAAAATGCCATGGAGTGATTTACCCTTCCCTGAGTCTCTGAGAGCAAGCGTGGCTATATTTGGCCTATGAAAAGTAGTCTTGGAAAATACATGGAGTCAAATGGCTAATCTTAGTGACCCAGCAGTCATATCTTAGGTCTATATATTACAATAGAGAGAGATGTTGTGAAAATGAGTGAGAAAGATGGCGAAATACACCTTCATTGTGAGCTGGACAAAAGTGAATCTTGGGGCTAGAGGTTGCCCTAAAAATATTTTTTTGGTCCCCAAACCATCCTTATTTTGGGAAGGAGGGAAGAAGGAAGGAAGGAAATTGTCTCTGTGAACAGCCTTAGGAGCAGAGATTTACATTTGAAATAAACCACAAGGCATCCCTAATGGTTCGTACTAAAAACAACCACCACCATCTTCTCAAAATTGGAAATGGACCTCTGATCCCTTTTGATTGGTTTTACCCCATTTCACTTTCTGGTGTGTAAGAAAAGTAAATATATTTTGTAAACTTCACCAAATAAAAAATCCACTATTAACATTATTGTTAGTAACATCATGCATATGTGCTGTACTAGTAAGTAAATTTCTGTTTGAGCAGCTAACACTTTCAGATTACTTTGCTTATACTAATCTATTATACATACATAGCATTAGTGTTCTGAATTTTCTGGTCTGATGGTATTTCAATGTATCAAGTTGACTTCGTGTCTATATGATAAACCCTACAAGACCTCATGGGAGGCACCCATGACACTCAAGGTATGATCAAAGTATTATAACTATGTGATGTGAAGGAGCTCCAGACTTCTTGTGTTTGGGAAATGCCAGTATTTCACATCAGCATGACAGAGTGATGCTCAAATGAGAACTTGTCCCTGAACCTTCTAAATGGCTGCAATGAGGTCTGCAACCACAAGGAGGTGCTGAGGACACATACCACATACCGTTCAACTCTGAATTCTGTCAAGTTCAATTCCACATTTAGAGGATTTTGTTATGAAAGGGCCATTTCTTGTTTTGCAACCGGGACTGGTAAAAGCAAATAAGCGTTTCACTTTAACTCTTTTTCATTGTCATGCCATTCTTGGTCCCTTTTTTCATCATCCAACTCTATTTCACTCTCATGATCACCGCTGGTCAAATCTGTAGCGTGATGAAGATCTCTTTATCCAAAGTGGGATTTCTTTCTCGTCTCCTGAAACTGGCATGGAGGATGAAGGGCATTCCCCTCCTCACATACACACATATAACTATGATTGCTAAGGTGAAAATGGAAAGAGCTTCTGTAATTTAATGGTTATGTAGAAGAGTGAGTTTTAGTAGGCATTGCTTGTTACCTGGTTGTGTGATAAGAAACATCTGATACAATGCCCTCTTGTACAAAAACATGTCAACAAATGTCAGAAATGCATCCCTTTTCTCTCACACCCTAAAAAGTCTAGAAAATCAAATCTGGATTCTATTTCCCAGTCTTGCCATGTGGAATCTATGCCAGTTGGCCCCAACTTGATCTGGTCTTAACATGGTAGCAAAGAATTGCATGTAGAGATAACACTAAGTGATTGTAGTTGTTCAAACATGATCACCTAGTTCTATCAGGTAATATCCAGTAGCTCTTTCTGCCCATGGTGATACAATGGCCAGCTTGGATGGGTAGGCCCAGTTCAAAGCCTTGAACTACTTCATAGCACAGAAAGCTATTTCATAGCAAAGAAAGCTAATTCCAAAGCCATCCTCAAGACATGGGTTAGCACAGATATGGGCAAAATCAGCCCATATCTGATGGATGCAGCCAGTTGGCCCCAGAGTTCTGGACAGATGCATGTCAGACTCTCCTCTCAATAGGAGGACGTAATGGGTCACCTCATCCTCCTGCTTAGAGAAGGGCCCTGCAGTCACACACAGCTGCCCAGAGCTCTCTCAAGAGCTCTAGGAAGCTGTGCGTCAGACACCTGCACTCTTTGGCAGAGAAGGCTAAAGACCTTGAAAAACTGCAACTCTCAGAATTCTACAGCTTTGAGCCATGATAGTTAAAGTGGGGGTCAAAAACACGAACCCTCTCCTCCCCCAGCCAGGTGTCAACCACCATGATCCAACCCACCCAACCAACCACCTCATCCAGCATGTGCCCCCTCCCTCCCAACCTGCCTCTCTGTCAAATGTAGCCCCAATGTGAAAAAGTTTGCCCATGCCTGGGTTAGCACCATAGCAAACCAAATGCATGTCATCTAGACTGGCAGAATGTGACAAAAATTGGAGAGTGGGACAAAATGTAGGGCAATGCCTTTTGATGCTCTGGAGTGTATTTTGAACAGGATCTTGTGGGTGCATGAGTCATGTATGTATCTGTATACTCTGGCCACTCTTGCCTTCATGTTTCAGTGCATGTCAGGCTTACCACCTTTCAGTTCAGAACTGTATTTATTGAGCAGTAAGGTCTTTAAAATGGGTGAGAATCATGTGCCCACCCAGCTGTTGTTGGATGGCAACAACTAGCAGCCCTAACTAGAAATGTCAGTGACAAGGAGTTGTAGTCCAACAATGTATGGAATTGCAAGGGACCCCATCTCTGTCTTCAGAAGGGAGTGCAACTTTTGCTTGGGTAGAACTCTGCTTTATTTGAGGACTTGGATAAACTGGGCTTTGCAACCATCCAGAGAATTCTGCTTCTGCTGAAGCAACCATGAGCATGACTTCTTTCCAGACTTCAACATGCAAATGAGAGGAGAATGGTGTGTACAATGGAAGCTAGAGGATAAGGAAAGTGGATGAGAAGATCTATTTCTATGACAGCACAAAAAGGAAGCAAGGGTGTTTGTATGTTATGTACAGAATTGTTGTTCTTGTAAAAAGACCATAAAAAGTCAGAGCCAGAATAAAACCATGCAACGAAAACTCTTCTGTCTTCTGATCAGATACAGTGGCAGCCAATGATTTCCATACTAATAGGCTGATGACTCAACTGTTTTTTAGTTCAGATTTTAAAGGAGTTGCCTAAGATATTGAACCCTATCACCATCCCAGTGACACAGGAGCTACCAGTTACAACTACTGTAGCTAAATGTGAAAAAGGTTTGGAGAAAAATCAATAGACTCCATGTCTTTCCTTGTACTTTGTTCATATTGTCAAATAACTAGAGACATATTGGTTCCATTCCTATTCTGGAAAGACAAACCAATTGTTTAATTTCGGATGAGTTTATCAGCAATCAAATGGTTCCCTGGGACTCAGCCGAAAATATGTGCATTGTTGACAACCACATGCCAACAATGAAATCAGTTCAAGTAATTTATATGAATTAACTAGGTTTACAGTAAGCTGGTGTGGTGTGGTGGTTACAGAATTTGACAATGTCTTTGGAGACCAGGGTTCTAATTCCTACTCAGCTAAGGAACCCCATTGGGTGATCTTGAGCCAATCACATTCTCTCGGCCTCAGAGGTAGGCAAAGGAAAACACTCTCTAAACAAATGTTGCCAAGAAAACCATGATAGGTTTTCCTTATGGTTGCCTTAAATCAGAACCCTTAAATCAGAAGCAAAACAACAACAACAACAAACAATCCATGAATTTTCATACTGGAGGCATAGAAAGGAATGGGGGTCCATTAAAGACTTCCAGTTTCTTTTCTTTGGATGCAAACATGTAAGCCATTGATGTGGAATGAAAAGGGTATGTGTTACAAATTTGAAGTTTGTTTCAGCTCATGCTAATGTTACACAGTAGTTTAGCCTTGCATCCACAACACACCATTGTCTTTAGTGGGGTGTAATCTCAAATAAGCAGATGTAAGACTGCAATCTTAATGAGATGTTCACGATCCATAAAAAGATGGACCTAATCGCAGCTCAGAACTGCATTCTGAAAGCTTTAGCTGCTGTTACAAAATTCTTATGATGTTTATGCAAAAGAATTAGATGGCTCCCCCTCAATTCTGCCTACAGAAGCCAATTGGTCTACTACAGTGTTTCTCAAACTGTGCTCCTCCAGGTGTTTTGGACTTCAGTTCCCAGAAATCCCAGCCATCTTACCAGCCATTAGGACAGTGGTTCTCAACCTGTGGGTCCCCGGATGTTTTAACCTTCAACTCCCAGAAATCCTAACAACTGGTAAACTGAGATTTCTGGGAGTTATAGGCCAAAACATCTGGGGAACAACAGGTTGAGAACCACTGCATTAGGAGCTGTGGAAGCTGAAGTCCAAAACATCTGGAGGAGCACAGTTTGAGAAACTCTGGTCTACTAGTTTAATCTTTCTTCAGCATTAACCATAAAACAGTGTCCACCTTATCAGGGGATGATAGCAAGCCAATGCAGAGAGTGCATGACAAGCAGTAAGAGAAACATACTCCTTTCTTGCTACTGAAAAGAACAGAGGTTTAGCAGGGACAACTGGTGCCTTGAGCTTTTGCTACTCCCTCTCTGCACTTACTACTTCACCGGATGGTATTGCTGGTCCTGATCAATGAGAATAATCTAGGAGGTTAGATTTTTCTGGGGCTTGGCTACAGTGTCATTTGGCCAACATCTTGATGTCTTCCTTTGGCCTTCCTCTACACCTCCCCCCACATTTAGTAAGAGAGAGGAGCAACAGCAGCCGCTGCTGCTAGAGCTCCCAGGGTGGAGACACAGCTTGAACAGGGTCCTTGTGAATGTTAAGCTTCAAGTTGGAGCCGCTGGGAGCTAGGACATGAGTGGCTTGACAGATGGCTCAGCTGCAACAGTTTCTGAGCAGTGGGGCAGACCTCCCTCCACCATCTGCCAGGGGGGTCACAGGTGACACCCAAACATTGCAGTTGTGTTTGGGAGGGGGGAAGGAGGAGAAAAGTCAGAGACAGAGGGAGACAGTGACAAAGAGGAGATGCCAGGGCTTGATTTATAGAAATGCATTGGCCTCCTGAAACTCCATGCCTGCCTCTACAGGGCTTTGGCAGGACAACAGTGTGTTTCTTCCCAGTGACCCTGTAG